TTCTATGAGGTTCAGTGTGGATGGATTTATATTGAGGTCTTTGATCTATTTGGACTTAAGTTTTGTGCTTGTAGGTAGATATGGATCTATTTGCATTCTTCTACATGTTGACAGCCAGTTATACCAGCACCATTTGTTGAATATATTTTCTTTTTTCCACTTTATATTTTTAGCTTCTTTGTCAAAAATTAGGTGTTCATAGGTATGTGGGTTGATATTGGGGTCTTCAATTCGATTCCATTGGTCCACCTGTCTGTTTTCATGCATATACCAAGCTGTTTTCATTACTATTGCTCTGTAGTAGAGTCTAAAGTCAGAGACACATGCCTGAATTCTTATGTGGGATCTAGACTCAGGTGCTTGGGATTGTGTGGCAAGCCCTTCACTAACTAACCAGCTTCTCATCCCCATGCTTTTTGTTTTCTTCTGTTTTTTTTTTAATAATTTATGTCAAAATTCATTTTACATTCCAACCACAGTTCTCCCTCCCACCACTCTTCTTGCCTCTGCTCACCTCCCCCCAGCCCTCCTCAAGTCCACTCCTCCTCACCAGTAAGGGCTTCCATGAGGAGCCCACAAAGTCTGGCACAATAGGCTGGGGCAGGGCCAAGCCTCTCTCCCATGCATTAAGGCTGAGCATCCTACCATTGGGGATGGGCTCCAACAAGCTAGCTTATGTACCAGGATTATATCGCGGTCCTACTGCCACTGAGCATATGCCTTTTGTTGTTGTTGTTTGATTTTTTGAGACAGAGTTTCCATGGCTTTTGTTTTTAAAGAATAGAGTCCAGGTCACTCTTGAATTCATGGTCCTCCTGCCTCGACCTCCCAAGTGCTGGAATGACAGGCTGTATCACCACATACAACTAGAAATTACGTTTTTATTAACATCTTCCTCTTTAGTGGATTGGAAACACATGGCTCTTCATGTAGTTCATTATTAAATCAAAAGCTAAAAAATCCAAGTTAGAAACATCTATACTTTTAAATACTTCACAAAGCCTTGGCAGCGTGAAACCCATTGCTCCTCTTCATCTTCAGAAATATTTTCTCTGCATTTTCCAAGGTTGTATTGTATATGCCATTATTCTTGCTGTCATCAACTACCAACTTCTGGATTTCCAATCTAAGAGGGGAATGTATATTCCGAGAATTCCTTCTCTGGGAAGATATAAACATGTGCACTTGCCTTATAAGGTCCCAAAGACAAAAAATCCAACCTAAGGAAACAATGAGGTTAGTGAACTTACAGAATATGGTGAGGGGTTGCTTATAGGACTATGAGTGACCCTGCCATACCAGAAAGTCTTTACCTAGCATGGATGATGGCTTCCTTAAAGTCACACAGATGGGGGTCCCTTTATTAACCTCCCAAGGTTATATTCTAATACCCCAAGACCCCTAAGTCATTTGCAATTAGGACAGAATTGCATCCAAAGGCCTGGGAAGAGTGGCTGGAGTCTCAAAAGAGGGCTCATGCTCTCCCAGATTTCTTCTCAAAGAAAACATCATTAGCCAATAGACCCCATCATGATGGCTGCTTGAAAACTGGCACAGCTAGCCTAATGAAGATGGTGACTGTTTTGCCTAGAGGATAGCATACTGCAACACTCCCTGTGTGTGTGTGTGTGTGTGAGTGTGTGTGTGTGTGTGTGTGTGTGTGTGTGTGTGTGTGTGTGTGTGTGTAAAGTGAGATGGGTCAAAGGGAGAGTGAATTGTTCTTCCAGTTACCACTCCCAACCCCAAGCCCCAACACCACCACCACTTTCAACCCCCTCATTCCCAGCCAAGGCCAGCAGCAGAGGAGGTCCCAGGAGAAGGAAGACTTCATCTCCTTCCCTAGCTGGGATTGTGCGGTGGTGGAGAGCCCACTGACCTGCACAGGCGCAGAGAATTGAAGCAAGGACATCTTGTTTTGTCTGCCTGGATTCTTGAACTTTCTCTGTGTGGAGTAAAACTGCATTTCAAGTAGGAACAGACCTCAGCACTGGCACTTTCTCTCCATTCATTTTTATCTGCGTTACAAACATTACCTTCAATTGTGGTTTCCTTGCAGGAATCTTGTTAAGAGCCGTATATCCATTTGTGAGAAGAGTCAATGTAGTTAAATTTTCGTCACATAATTGGTAAAGCCACTTAGCTAGGTACTTGGGACACATCATAGGAGTTCAAGCTATCAGCATCAATTAGAGATAGGAAAACCAGGTATTTCTGGGCATGTTGAAGTAAAAGAATGAAAGCTCTAGCCTGAAGTGAGCTTGGTTTTTTGAAAGCCTGGATTCCCTTGCATTGTGGCTACTTCTGGAACATGTATATATTTCTCCATAATATATTACATATGTATGTATATGCCTGTGATGCCCATTTATGTGTATAAAACAGACCCCCTTGACCTGAGGAGCTTACAAAGCATGTTGCTTGGTATGTTCATTTACTAAGTACCACACGCTCTGTAATTCACACAATAGAAATGTTGTCTCATAACTGCCCAGGCTAGAAGTCCATGACTGGGGTATAGACAGGGTTGGTTCCTTCTGAAAACTGGGATGAAGGGTCAGTTCCAGGCTCTCTCTACCTATGCTGGGTTGCTGGCAATCTTTGGCATTCTTTGACTTGTCTGCCTCCATCTCCACATGGCGGTCTCTGAGAACACATATCCATGTCCACCTCCCTTTATATAAGGACAACATTGGCTAATCCGAGTGAGGCAGCTCTAGAGATAGTGAGAATGTATAGAACAGTGGTTCTCAACCTTCCTAATGCTGTGACCCTTTAATAGAGTTCCTCATGTCGTGGTGACCCCAGCCATAAAATTATTTTGTTGCTACTTTATAACTGTAATTTTGCTACTATTATGAATCATATTGTATTATCTGTGTTTTCCAATGGTCTTAGGCAGTCAACTAAGGGGTCACAACCCACAGGGTGAGAACCACTGGTATAGAGCCTTAGAAGCTAGCTGATGCCAGGTCATTGTACAGTTGAAACAGAAAGGCTGAGACAAACCCATTTGCATGAAACATGGGCTCCCGAAGAGATGCCTTATCATAGAAAAAGGGAGCTAGCAAAAACCCAGAGAACCACTTCAGCTGATTAGAACTTTGGGGACTGGGTTCTACTATACACACACGCATCTGCTCTGTGGGTTTACAGGGTCAGGCGGCTTAGTCAGGGAACATATAAGACCGGGGATTTGAGGGAGGTATTAGTTATTAGGGTTTGTTTTAAAGTACAAGAGAGAGCTGGAGTTTGATAAGGTCTGCTGGGCGGGGACACTGAGCAACTGGGGAAAGGTGTCCTGGGATGTGGAAATGGATCGGAGCCCCAGAGAGTGAGCAGAGGATGTGTCAAAGCTGAACTTGCTGCTTTTAAAGACTTCCAGGCACCCTTCTCTGTGGTTTCCCCACTGAGCTCTATCTAATCAGCTGTTACTAGAATAAAACACCAGAGAAGAGCATGTTAGAAGGAGATTGCAGCTTTGTAGTTTCAGCCTTGGTCAATTGTCCCCATTGTTTCAGGGACAGTTGTGAGGCAACGCATATGCCAGGAGGGTGTAGAGAAGGAAGTTGCCCACCTTCTGGCCCCTGGGAAGCAAAAGTAATAAGAAGAGCTGGAGTCTCATGATCCTCTTTGAGGACAAGTCTCAGCAATGTCCCATCACTGGGCCCTACCTTTTAAAGCTTTCCCTACTTTCTGGGGATCACACCTTTAACATACAGGCTTTGGGGAGAGGATTATAATCTGAATTATAATGAACTCTGATGAGCTCTGCCCCTAAAAGCCCTCTCACCACCTGCCCATTCCTGGGGCCTAGAGGGAGAATTGCAAGCTGAAATAGACGCTGTATCTGAACTGGCCAATGGTAACTAGGATGTCACAAGTCCACATGGAGGAATGTCAGCATAGGAGGGAGCTCACATGCCAAGGTCAGGGACAGTTTGAGGGAACCATGCTAAAATCACATGGCCCTTGGTAATTTGGGACACTAATTTGACCGTGTGTGTGTGTGTGTGTGTGTGTGTGTGTGTGTGTGTGTGTGTGTGTGTGCGCGCGCGTGCACGAGTGCAAAGGGATGGGGTAGGGTGGGGTGAGGATTGAATCCAGGGCATCACATGTGCTAGGCAAATGCTCTACTGTTGAGCTCTGTCTCCAGCCTGAGCACCTCATTTGAAAACTGCTCTGTTGATTTTGACATCTGTGGTGGTTGGCTAGCAACTGCCAGCTTTCATTGGTTGAGTTATTTATCAGACACTGGGCACCACTTCTGCTTATTCCTCATGGCTTATTCCTACATGGTAGACATAAAATTATGATCTCTCTACTTTATAGAGATCTTTAACTCTGAGGGATAGTTGATGAATGTATCTATATGTCAATTGTTCCCTAACTAATGGCACAGCATTAAACCGCTACATCAGTATGCTAATCGATTATAGATGACTTTGTTTTATTCTATTTTTAATCATTTATTATTATACAGCATTCTGCCTGCATGTATGCCTGAAGGCCAGAAGAAGCCATCAGATCCCACTATAGATGGCTGTGAGCCACCATGTGGTTGTTGGGAATTGAACTCAGGTTCTCTGGAAGAGCAGCCAGTGCTCTTAACCACTGAGCCATTTCTCCAGTCCCTTTTGTTTTATTCTTTAGCCATTTAAAAAAAAATTCCAAGTTTTAAATGTAAAATAGAGGGAAATTTAATAGCCATAAAAAACCTCAACAACACAGACACACACACACACACACACACACACACACACACACACACAGAGGCATGTATGCCATTGGAATGTGTGTGCAGGAGGAGATATAAGTGAGCAGAGTGATGTCAAGCAGGGTCCCTTGTCCTGGGTTTCTCCATCATACTCAGGATCCTACTTCAATCTTTCATTTGTTCTTTTTGTCTCAGCCCAGGACACAGTGCTAATGGCAGGTGGGAGAGGCACGGGGTGACAACACCCTGACCCTGATAGACTGTGTCTCCGTCACTCCCATCATAGGTCAACCCTTTCAGAGATCGAATCTGCAGGGTGTTCTCCCACAACAATGTGTTCTCCTTTGAGGATGTTCTCGGCATGGCATCAGTGTTCAGTGAGCAGGCCTGCCCCAGTCTGAAGATTGAATATGCCTTTCGCATCTATGGTAGGTACCTTGGTTGGGGTTGTGGTGCTGAGTGGGGAGGAGGAAGGGGCCAAAGAGAACCTGCCACATCTGAAATCCAACAACATTAGCTCATTGCTGGGATGGTGTAACTGGGATTCATTAGGTCTTTATGGGTCTATATCAGATTTCTTAAGTACTGTGAAATAACAAACCAAGTTGAGAATCTCAGCTTTGATAGACAGAGGCCCTTCCCTCCATGTCATCTATATAAGTGGCTTTCATTGCTGCTGTCACCAACGTACTTGACAAAAAGTAACAGAGGGGAAGGAGAATTTATTTGGTCTCAGTTTGAAGGCATATAGTCCATTGTAGCAGGGTTGGCAGTGTGACAAGCAGGCCACAGGAGTGGGAATGTGTGGCTGAGACTCCTCACTCCCTTACATGTTGATGAAACAGGACAGAGATGACACAGGATGCTGGGTGGTGCCGTAAGCCTCCAGTTCTGCCCCTTAAGGAATCTATTCACTCTCTGGCTAGGTTTCTCCTCCCACAGGTTCCATGGTCTCCCAAAACAGTGTCAGAAGCTGGGAAATGTTCAAACACATGAACCTGGGAGGGCTAGTTCAGGTTAAAATCTTAGCACCATCCAAGGGCACTGGAGTCACCGATGGCAGGCCAGAGAGGAAGAGAAGCCGCATATGGGTTGAAAGACTCGGGCTTGTCTAGCAGGAAAAATATTGGGCGGTAACTTGAGACACATGAGCATTTGAGCCAGTTCTGCATGCAGTGACTGCAGGTCTGGGACAGGTCATTTCGTTTCCCGAGAATCCATGGTCTCATCTTGAAAGTGAAGGACTTGAGAGAGGTCATCTCTGACGTCTTTGGTATCTGCCAAGTGGGTTACTCGGACCTCTCAAAAGCAACTGAAGGGAAAGAACCAAAGAAATCTCAATCATACATTCCCACTCCTATGGGCTGCTTGTCACCTTGCTGTCTCCGCCATAGAACAGTGGGATACTCAGACCTCTCAAAAGCAATTGAAAGAAAAGAACCAAAGAAATCTTGAGACACCTTCCAGCAGACCAAGAACGTCTTTGAATATATCATGGTAACTCCTCTGCTTGCACAGGCAGACTGGAATGGATGAGCATGGCCCTTTCTGTTTAAGTAGGCCATCCAGTCCTCCTGTCCTCAGACATCAGTGAGCAGACTCATGCAGGCTGAGGAAAACTGAAACTTGCCAAGCATGGTGGCACACACCGGTAATCCTAACACTCGGGAGGCTGAGGCAGAGGGATCAGGAGTTTGAAGACAAACTGGGCTGCACAGTGAGACCTTGTCTTAAGAAGTCAAGGGCTAGTGTTCTAGCTCAATGATAGAATGCTTGCCTGGGATACACAAGGCTCTGGATTTGATTCTCAAACTAAACAAACAACCCCCCCCCAACCCTCTCTAACCTGAAGGACAAGATTGCAGTCTGAATTAAACCAAAAATGTCCGAGCTGTTTTTGGAGAACTAGAACAGAACTCAGTATCTTTACACCAAAACATTTACAATCCCCCAAATTAAATCTAAAAGTGACCTGATATACAAGAAAATTCCTTTAAATCTTGCTGCCATCTCCAGAAGGGAGACTGACTCTGACATGACCCAGATACTGAAATTCACTGATAAACAGTCTTAAAACAGCTACCGTCACTGTTGTCTGCTCTTCAGAGAAACAGAAGCAAGGAGAAAGAAGAGGGAAGGGGGGAAGGATGCAGGAATGGAGAGAGGAAGGAAGAGGGAGGAAGAGAAAGATGGGCTTATAGATGACTCTGGTGACCAGCACCCCACAGTCTCCTGTGAGTGAGGCATCCAGGAAAGATGGTGACTTAATTCAGTCCAAGGGCACCAGAACCAAGGGCATCATTGACCAAGGACAGAGCAGAAGGAAAAACTCCTCTGTCCTGTTTTATGCTCTTGGAGCCTTTGCTGGACTGGATGATGCCCACCCACAAGAATGAATGTAGTCTTGTTTTTAAATTTGTATTTGTTTTTAAATTCTTTTTAAAAAGATTTGTGTTAGTGTGTGAATGCAGTGCCCAAGTAAGCCAGAAGAAGGTGTTGGATCCCCAGGATTGTGTGTGTGTGTGTGTGTGTGTGTGTGTGTGTGTGTGTGCAGTGCCCAAGTAGGCCAGAAGAGGGTGCTGGATCCCCTGGATTACTGTGTGTGTGTGTGTGTGTGTGTGTGTGTGTGTGTGTGTGTTGGATCCCCTGGATTAGGTGGTATGAGCCTCCCACCATGGTTGCTGAGAACCAGACTCAGGTCCAAACAGATGACTTCATACCTGTATGTAATGTATTTTAGTCATTTCGCCTCCTTACCCTCTTTCATTCCCCTCCTACCTACTGTACCCCTCCTTCCATCAAGAGGCCCCCTTCCACTTATGTGTGTGTGTCTGTTATATCCGTTGTATTTTACTGGGGTTGCTTACATGACCATGGCTGAAGGGTTATTTACAAGCGTGGGCGATTTGCCAGTGGCTACACTACTGAAGAAAATCACTCTGCTCCCCCCACTGTCAATAACTCCTGACTCAGGAGTGAGGCCTCCAGAGGCTGCCCTCCCTGAGCCATGAAGGGACTGTCGCCTGCAGATTTGAATGTGACCTTCTTTATTCAGTTGACTGATTCAAATGCTAATCTCTTCCAGAAATTCTCTCACAGACACACCAGGAAATCATTTTTTTTCTGTCTTTATCTGGGCACTCCTCAGCCAAGTCAAACTGACACATAAGATTGACCATCACAACTACCATTTCCAATAAAGTAAATCTGCTCACACACACAAAAATGAAAAGATATGAAAGCTCATCAGAAAAAAATACAACTATGAGAAGGAGTTAAACGGGCTGGGCCTAGCAGCATCGGCCTGTCATTCCAGCTGCTTGGGAGACTGAGGCAGGAGGGTCACATGGTCAAAGTCTGCCTGGGCTACACAGTATGTTCAAGGCTAACCTGGGAAACTTAACAAGTCTATATTACAAAAAAATAAAACTAGAGTGCCGGGGTTTAGCTCAATGATGGAGCCCTGACCTAGCATGCAATAGCCTTTAGGTTCATTCCCTGCTACCAAACAAAGCCTAACAAACACAAAAACCATCCAGAACCAAAATTCACCAGATGGGCTTAACAGGATAATTGAGATAACGGAGGAAAGGGTAAATCTGAAGACAGATGCAGAGAAAAAAATCTGAATGACAGAGAGAACAAATATTGAGGGAATTAAGGAACAGGGCCTCTGGGACTCACAGAGTTAGAAAGGTCAAATATACAACCACTTGATCCAATTGGAGTCTCAAAAGCAAAGGGTAGAAAAGATATTTGAAGAACTAATGGCCCTAAATGTCTTAAATTTGGTGCAAGACACAAATTCATAGTGAATTCCAGTCCAAAATGAAATCACACACCATATATTGTTAGCTCAGCAGTCCTGCCTGGTGTGATGTGTGGTGTGTGTGTGTGTGTGTGTGTGTGGTGTGTGTGTGTGTGTGTGGTGTTGTGGTGTGTGGTGTGTGGTGTTGTGGTGTGTGTGTGTGTGTGGTGTGTGGTGTGTGGTGTGTGTGTGTGGTGTGTGGGGGGGGGGGGGGGGGGGGGGGGGGGGGGGGGGGGGGGGGGGGGGGGGGGGGGGGGGGGGGGGGGGGGGGGGGGGGGGGGGGGGGGGGGGGGGGGGGGGGGGGGGGGGGGGGGGGGGGGGGGGGGGGGGGGGGGGGGGGGGGGGGGGGGGGGGGGGGGGGGGGGGGGGGGGGGGGGGGGGGGGGGGGGGGGGGGGGGGGGGGGGGGGGGGGGGGGGGGGGGGGGGGGGGGGGGGGGGGGGGGGGGGGGGGGGGGGGGGGGGGGGGGGGGGGGGGGGGGGGGGGGGGGGGGGTGGGGGTGGGGTGCTGGGGTGCGGGGGGGGGGGGGTGTGTGGGGGTGGTGTGGGGTGTGTGGTGGGTGGGGTGTGTGTGGTGTGTGTATGTGTGGTGTGTGGGTGTGTGCGTGTGTGTGTGTGTGTGTGTGTGTGTGTGTGTGTGTGTGTTTATGCGCATGCACCGCTCCTACAGCTTCCTCCTTCCTTTACTCAGGCTGGCTCAAACATCCCCAGGGAATATGCTCTGGTTCCCAGGAGTCCTAGCTAGCAAGACGCCACCACAATTCTGCCAGATGTGGCAACTGTGCTGACTGAAGTCCTTGTCACACTCTTTAGGACAAGACTCTAGCATAGCACTGGCCCAGCTCAGGCCTCTCACCTCAGACAAGAGTGCATGGGTTGCAAGGCACAGAAAGTTAGCTCATGAAGCAATAGATAAGGGACTGTGGATCTTAGTCTGCCTGGGTTGAGTAAAAAAAAAAAAAAAAATCCCCCAAACTTCAGTGGCTTTAGGTACCACACTTTATGGTTTAGGGGGCCTGCCAGTTAAGAATCCAAGCTTGGCTTAATTGGATCATTCTCCCTTCTCCTCTCCCACCTCCCCCTGCTTCTGCTGCTGCTTCTGATTTCAATTTATTTATTTATTTATTTATTTATTTATTTATTTATTTATTCACCTATCTATTTAATTTTTGTGGCAGGGTCTCTTTATATAGGCCTGGAACTCACAGAAATCTATCTGCTCCTCTCTCCTCAGTGTTAGAATGAAAATGTGCACTACCACTCCCAGGGATTCCCCTCTTAAAGTCTCATAAAACTCCAGTCAAAGTTCTAGCTAAGCTACTCCCCATCTGGAGAATGGCTGCCTGGGGAAGGCCATTCAAGCCACTGGCAGAACACAGTTTTTGTGTTCATGGACCTACCTTTGGCCTCTGGCTTTGTGCTAACTAGGAGCTGGAGGCCCTCAGCATCTGAAGGCCAGACTGAGATACATTAGGCCTTGTCTTGACTGAAGGAGGGAGGGAGGGCGAGAAGGAGGAAAGGAAGGAAGGAGGGAAGGAAGGAAGGAAGGAGGGAGGGAGGGAGGGAAGGAGGGAAGGAAGGAAGGAAGGAAGGAAGGAGGGAGGGAGGGAGGGAAGGAGGGAAGGAAGGAAGGAAGGAAGGAAGCTAGGAAGGAGTGAGCTCTGTTACCTTCCCATGGTTTCCAGATCCCAAGAAACAAAATCCCCAAAACCCATCAGGGGAGTAGATGCTCGCAAGCATCTTCTAGATACAGGGCCAACTTTGCTTAGCTTTAGAAATGACAATGTTTAGTCCTTAGAGGGCAGACAGAGTAGTTGGGGACAAGTCAGAGACCAGACATTCCAAACCACCCCAGTGTCCTTGTATCTTCCTCCATCCTTCTCCAAGCCCCTAAAGTACAAGTTATTCCCCTTCCCAGAGGACCCCAAGCAGAAGACCTTTCAAAAGCTCAATTAGCCGGGCGTTGGTGGTGCACGCCTTTAATCCCAGCACTCAGGAGGCAGAGGCAGGTGGATATCTGTGAGTTTGAGACCAGCCTGGTCTACAAGAGCTAGTTCCAAGACAGCCTCCAAAGCCACAGAGAAACCCTGTCTCGAAAAACAAAAAACAACAACAACAAAAAAGCTCAATTAAATCATCAGTGTAAATAGATAATAGATACCTAGGACTCATGCCCCAGCCTGCATCCAGGATACCCAGACAAATGAGAATCCTCTTTGGGTTCTGATGGTTTGTAACCATACATGGCTGTCAGCTCAGAGTGAGACAGAACTCCAGGATCCTTGCTTCTAGTGCCTGGTACCCAGAAGCTGCTCAGTAAGTTTGAAGGTGATGGCCTATAAGGAAGAAAGAAGAGAAATTAAAAAGAAGGGCAAAGAAGGTAGACAGAGGAGATGAATGTGTTGGTAACGGTCATGGTAGTGAATCTAGCAAAAGTTCAAAGACCCCTCAACACTCTTGACCTGATGACTCCGAATGAGGTTCAGGGGCCAGGCACATCAGTGCTGCAAGGGAGCTTACCAAAGATACAGACCCTCTGCCCCCACTTACACCTCTGAAATCAAATCTACATCTTAGAAAGACACACCCCCGCACCCCTATCAATCTCTGGCCCATGCTTTAGCCTCCTGCCTTCCAAACCTGACTGCATACTCACCTGGGAGTTAAAGCAAAACAAAACTTGATGGAATGGTATCAAGATACCATCCTCCTGGCCTGTGGTCTTTTACAAAGCCCCCTGGGTATTTCTAACGTGCAGCAGATTTGGAGGCTCCTGCTCTAGTTTGATGTATCAGTTAGGATTGCATCCAGCTATATGTAGCAGTACCCCTGGTTATAGACAGACAGACAGACAGACAGACAGACAGACAGACAGACAGACAGATGATAGAAGTCTGGAATGATGGCTCCAGCAAGGGCCCAGATTCCTTTATGCTTCCTCAACTGTAAAGTCTTGGTATGAGACTATTGTCCTATTGCCGTCATAGTCACAAAAAAATGGCTTTTGTGCCCACAGACTTCTCATCTTTATTCTAGGCAGGGAAAGTGGTGCAGAGGGGAATGGGAGAAGGAATAAAGGTGAAATTTACATCCAAAGACACACATAAGTCAGCCCTTCCCAAGCTCTCTTGGAACACCACCAAGACACTTCAGTTTATATTTCAGGGGCCAGAATGATGTCATACGGCCACCCATGGCTGCCACAGAGATGGGAAAGCCATGCATTTTCATCTGAACCCAGGGTCATCTTGAACAAGAACTGTTTTGAGAATGACTACTGGTTAAGAATGCATCAGAGAACCTTGACTCCTGGAGCTCACTTCCTAGGTACCAGTTTCTGCCTTGAGGGACATGCTGGCCTCTGTGTGATCAATGTCACATCTCTCCATACCTACAGGAAGGTCAATCACTTTTGTCAGAAACCAACATCTCAGCCACACCTTCCTGATCTAGTTGGTACCAGCTATAGCTCCTCAGGTAGAAAGCAAGTAGCAGGGCTTACCATACCTTCCCAAGGCCTGACCAGAAGTGCCAGTGGTTAGGTGAGGCTGTGGAGGAAGCCTAGGAAAACTATTGAAAGCTTGCCCTTGGTCTGCAAGCAGTTAACTTTAGCTTACAGCAGTGCTTC